AGCGATTCACCTATTTTGAAGATCAAGCAATGAAGAAGTGCGACAATCTTTGCGCGTTTTTATATGATATGTTAAGCTTCATTCATACATGTATGATGGAGGTAGGTGTGTTGTTTCCAGGCCCCCCGCCTGCGCTTTGGCCCCGCCGGTCATGATGCCACAAATCCTGTCCAGCAAGCCTTTCAACACCTCTTCGTCCTTCTCGTTGACAGCCTGCGATAGCTTCTTGTAGTACCCCTCCACCTTCGCAGCGTATTCAAGAAGCTCTTGACTCAACGCATCAGCAAACTCCATGTCACAGAGCTTGATGCTTTGGGTTCTGGCGTCAGCCGCATCTTTCAACATGTCCTGTAAGAGCGCTTTTGCTCTGCCTTCGGTTGTCAAAGGCTCCACAGGCTCAGATTGCTGTTCCTTGGGCTTCCGCTTTGGAGCAGGTGCAACCTTTGCCATTGCCTCCATCAATGATTTAGATCCTTGAGAGCTGATTCCCTCCATCTTTGGCAAGGCGCCCACTGGCATGATGCCATCCTCCTTGCTCGTGATGGCTTCCCTCAAAGCTGGATCCACATCTCTTTTCCCTTTGAGGGTCATGGCTTCAGAAGTCTCTTCCTTTCTCACAAACTCGTTGCCTTCTCTGACAAAGTACCAAGCCTCCTGCCAGGTGGAAGGAAAAGGTATTGGGAAGTATAGGGTTGGATGCCAGATGGAAGGAAAGGCATTGGGAGGAAGTATAGGGTTTGAGGTTTGGTGGACTCTCACCAAATCAGACTCTCGAAACGATCGAAGATCAAAACATTTCACATCCCATGCACACAGCTGGCCTCCTCGTCTTCTGGGAAATCTTCATCCCAGTAAAACAAGCCTTGGGACTTGCGGGCATCCTTGACCTTGGTCCACTTCTCTTCTGAATACCGCTTCTTCAGTTCTTTCCCCTGCACAGCCTTCCAGGCCCGCTTTGAGATGTTCTTCTCGGCCTGTCGCCGCTCCACCTCCAGGGCACATTTGCTCCAATTGCACCCAGCGTCAACCCACATGTTGAACAGGTCATTCTTTGCCGTGGTGAAGTACTCAGAGAGATTGAAAGGCATCTTTGTGCGAGCTTGGCGACAAAACGTATCCCACTCCCGTTTGTGGGTTACGCTATTCCGCAGAGCCAGAGTCGTGCACTTGGTCTGGTTCGTCACTGGCACCAGGGCGTGCTCCTCACTCGCTTCACCCTTTGCATCTCCTGTTGTCTCATCTTCCTTGCCTGTTGCCTTTGGGTCTGCTTCGCCCTCTTCTGAGCTCTCCTCATCATCATCATCTGCATCCTGGTCGTCGTCGCCAGCTGTAGTGTCACTACTTCCACCTTCATCTTCTTCCTCACTTTCAGCTGACTGGCCATGATCAGATTCATCACCAGATCCAACATCGGAACTGGCCTCGCTGTCAGTCTCATCAGCCTCGCTCTCAAGAAGAAGCTGGGCTTCCAAGTCAGTCGCAGGGCATGAGCTGGAAGAATCATCTTCATCTGAAGCCTCCAAAGTGTCTTGCAACTCTTGGAGCCTCATCTCAGCCTTTTCCTTGGCAGACAAGCCTGACCCAGATCCTGGTGAATCAAAGATGTGCTCAATCTTGCGTTTTTTGCATGGCACATACTTGATCTTCTTCGACTTCGATCTCACCACATCACTCTCCACTTCTGTCTCTTGCTCTTCCACCTTCTTCTCAACCTTGTTTGGCTTCTTCTCATCCTTTTTCTTCTTATCTTTCTTCTTATTCTCCGCCTTCTCCTTCTCTTTCTTCTCGCTCTTCTCACGCTTCTTCTCCTTCTTCTCTGACGCCTTCTTCTCCTTCTTATCCTTCTTCTCATCTCTCTTCTCAGAACTCTTTGCGTCACTCTTGCCATCAACCTTCTCTGGCTTCTTCACTTCACTCTTCTCTGCCTTCTTCTCAGCACTCTTCTCTGATTTCTTCTCGGGCTTCTCAATCCTCTCTGGCTTCTTCTCATCTCTCTTCTCAGACTTCTCAATCTTCTCTGGCTTCTTCTCATCTCTCTTCTCTGCCTTCTTCTCATCTTTCTGGTTCTTCTTTGTGCATTCCTTCTTCTCGCGCTTGTTCTCCGTTTGCTTTTGGTCTTTGTCCTCCTTGTCACTTTTGGCCATCGCCTCAAAGGCCTTGGCTTCGCGCTTTCTTTTCTTGTCATCGAGAAAAGCCTTCAAATTCTGTGATGAGCTGTTCCTCAAGGCCGATGGCCTTTTGTCACGGGATGCACTTGTAGCGGTTTTTGCCCTCATCCGCGTGCGAGGTGGTGTGCTAGGATGCTTAGTAGGCATGGCAACGATTTCGGGATGCTTTCAAAACCTGATGTGAGCCACTAAAAGATCACCGAAGCAAGAGCTCATTTGAGAGGGACTTGAGACAATGTTCCATGTCTACCAAAAGCGGTGTTTTTTTGGTCACCAATTCAGGTTCTATCAAGTTCTACAAAGCGCATGATTTCGCTACAATTCACACGATTCTCGCTGCATTTCACACGATCCATTTTTGATGATTTCCGACGGGAAAAAAGGGCACGACGCATTTCCAGGAGGCCTCCATCGTAGATGCACCTCTTCAAGAAGAGGCGACCCATGCTCCTGGAGCGAAGGGCGGCCGCTGGGGGAAGTGTCCTCTGGTTTCATGACCAATCATCGCAAATCTCGTTGTAATGTCTAACTGTGATGTCTAACTGTGGGATGACCTCCACCTATGGTTCTTGACCATTTGCAAGGCTCTATTGATCAATGCCTAATTGTGGGATGACCTCCACCTATGGTTGTTGACCATTTGCAAAGCTCTATTCTTCAATGCCTAATTGTGTGATGACCTCCACCTATGGTTGTTGACTATTTGCAAAGCCCTATGTCTAATGACCTCCGGTTGTGTACTTGCACGCGATTGGAAAATGCTCTTGGGCTGGCTTCAAAACACCAAGGGGTCCCAAGGAGAGGTTAGACGCAGAAAGGCGACCCCATTTGTTTTGCAGCAGACCCCATTCATGCTCCAAAGCCGGAAGCCGTGTCTATAGAACACAGCCGCCACTATAAATGCAGCAAATCTGAAAGGTTTGCATGGTCACCGATTTGACAAATAGTCGATGACTGGCTGGAGGTTTGCACCAGCGATCCATGCTCGATTGATACGAGCTCTGATGTCCAACTGGTTTTCAGTCTTCCTGGCCCCCCGTAGAAAGATCATTGCTTTCCGGAAGTTCCGCTTCAGGTGTTTTGTCCTAACTCTTGCTAGGGCCCTTCCAAAGCCAGGAGGGTAAGACTGACTTGATTTGAGATCAGTCCCACCGTGCACTCGCTTCTCTCCCCGTGAGTTCACGTAGTGCACGACCATCTGCCGGCGTTCCAGGTTGGGCTCTTCCTCATGATCCCGAAGATCATCGATGCATTCATGGCCTGGCCGGAGGACAGTTCTGCTGGACATGGCTTTCCAGGAGTTGACACCAATGATTGTTTCACCAATGTTTTAACCACCCCAAACAAAGGAAACTTGAACCTTTTGATCGCTTGCGATAGAAAGTTTTGTTTTGAATCTTTCCCACCGCACCTGAGTACAAGATTGTGCGCTTTGGTGTGGGGGCACCATAATGTGACATAGAAATCGACATTCTCCTCATGTTGAGCATTCGGAGAGCCTTCTGGAACAAAGGGTGGTACTCCATGACCGATGTCATAGGCTGCTCGAGGACCCAGAAGCAACATTTTGCTGCCGCCAAAGTCAGCAGGATCAAAGTGCGGGCCGTTAAGATATTCCCATCCACACATGCCTTGGAATCCTTCCGACCAAGAGGATTGGTTTTGCTCCGATGGGTCGATCCCCTTGACCTGAGACAAACACTGCAAGAGAGTGGTTGACGGTGAATTGAAGCACTGACTGGGCCAAGCATTCGGCTTTAGAGCAAAACCACAAAAATACTTTATGCGCAACAAAAATACTTTCTGTAAACCTTGGGCAAGTATCATGAAGACAAATGTGCTGCAAACCGGGGCTGCCAGGGCGGCAGACCCTGGCTTCAGGCAACACACTGCATGGAGTGCGTTGGCAAAGCCCTGCGGTGAGAGCAAGTCCATGGATTGAGGGTCAATCCGCACATCGAAGGGAATCGCTCGGCGGCCTTCCTGAGGAAACTGAAAGACTCCCTCAAGTCCCCTGATAATAGCTGGCATAAACCGAGGAGAACCTTTCAACCTCTCCCTCGTGCACTTCATGGTTCGTGAAATTTGTTCAATCTAACTCTTCAAAACTAAACTCCTTGATCACTTGTATCCAGAACAAGGCTCATCCCATTCAGCCTTTGTCACCTCAAAGTCTCCGGCAAATGCTTCGAAGTGATCCAGGGGCTCGAACTCCAATTGTGGAACGGCAAACATGAGGCTCACCAAGGTGGCAAAAACCTGAAGCGAAGTCAGGAACCAGTAAGCATTCTGGGCCCGTTTTTGGTGGTGGCTATTAGACCCAGTTCAACTTGACAGCGTGGATAAAATTGACGTTCCTTGAGGAGGTTGAGAAAAAGAAAATAGAATGTTCAATCAACCCATCAAATTCCAGAGTTTGATTGAATTAAGTTTTAAACGACGTTTGGTTTTGCTGCCGCCTCAACACCACACTTGGCTCTCTGCCGATGGATAAATGCAAACGAGGGTCGAGGGGAGCCTTGAGCTGTCGCAGCCCTGCCAGGAGCCATGACCGCTGTTTCGCCTTCCACGCCCTTGGAAGAGGCTGTGATTCCGCTGGGTTGTCGGCCTGCTGGAAGGGCATGTCCTTGCAGATGTTCCTCACCCTGCGGGATGTTGAAACCTTTTTCACCATCACCACAGCACACGGGAAGCTAGCAAAGCTGAAATCCGCTCAAATTGAGCCAAAATCTAGTTGATTTGATCGCATGCCATGTTTTGAAGGGATGGTTGGATACCTCATGAAGAGTCCGGGTTTGAGAGCGATTGCAACTTCCATGCTTGGGTCTATATAGACGTCACGCCAACTCCCACTCCCGCATTCTCCTCTCGGTTCGGCTGGAAGGCCGCCAAAGGAATCAGCTCGTACCTGGAGGATTTGGCAGGCACCCTTGAACTGGCAATGACTCCCCTGATGAGACCTCATGCGTCGGAAGTTCTTTATGCGTGATGGGCTCGTTACCTCTCAAAAAAAACAGCAAACAAACGCGGTCTAGTTTTCTTCCACTTTGGAGTTGTCGAGTGGAGGCCGTCAGAGAACAAAGCCCTTCAAGTCAGCCATCACAGATCCTAAGACAGCTAACTTGGGTAACCCCAATACTTCGCCCTCAATGTCATTTACATTGAGCCCAATCTGTGTCCCTCAATGAAGCCAATGCGATTTGCTTTTTGAATCATAACAAAGAAGATGTCCATATAGGTACGACTTGGAACTTTTGATGATGCATGAGGAACATCATGTACGCCTTTCTCAAAAAGCAGCTCTTGCTTTGGCTGCATCCCAAGCTTCACCAACGCTCGGGTATTTGCTCCAGGTCAGCTGGCCTGGCTTTCCATTTGACCCTGCGCCGGTCCTCTTCACGACGAAGGCTCTGCACTTCAGGAGGATTTCGATGGCCTTTGCTGTGGGCGGGCGTGTACCAACGAGTGTCCACACCTGAAAGAAAACCAACTTGTAAAATCAATCAAGTAAAACAACTTCTTATTCAATCCAGATCACTGCACCACTTGTGGACCGAAGAGTGTACCCGTGCTTCCCCGTGTGGGGATCCCCCGCACGAGGCCTTGCATCTAATGGAAGTTCATTTAGGCTGTACCCACGGAACTCGGATAAGGGTTCTCCCTTCTGCCCACCAAGTTCGGCTGCGTTGTCCTCTGCCTTGACAGCCGCCATTTGCTTGACCTCATCGAAGTTCGCAATGAAAGAGTGAGAGACAATTCTTTTTTCTAAACCTAAGACCTTTGCTACGTGAATTTAAATCAAAACAAGATTGGAGAGCTGGCTACTACACCAAAAGAAAGCTTGTGTTGCAACTAGCTACGGTCTGTGGGCCAACGATCGGAGGTGGCGAGATCTCGAGTGACCTGGCCACAACGTCCGCCGTCCTTGGACGCTTGGCTGCAGGCGTGATCAACTCCGTCTCATCAAGGGCGGGGTCATAGGAGTCTGACAGGTTCATCATGGACAGGGCCTTGTTGAATGCTTTCTTGCGCGCCTGACACCACACTCCCAAAGCTGTATGACTTCGTGGTTCTCAACTTCTTGATGACAAACTGTCAAACTACACATCCCAGTCTCAAGGAAGTGTTTACAGCTCAGAAAAGAAACCATGAACTCATGACCCGACTATGTAACCCGGCCTTTCCCTGTTCAGGCTCGGGCGTAGGCTTTCTAGTGGACAAGTCCTGCGCCCGTGCAGATGGTTCTTAAAACTAATCGTTGAATTGTAATTTTCCACTTGGATTGGCCTCCAAAAAAAAGACCCCCACAAGTCCGGTTCTATCTGCTTGAAATGCAGGTTTTGAAGGGGGAAAACCGGACTTGTGGGGGTCTTTTTTTGGAGGCCAATCCAAGTGGAAAATTAGCATCGTTGAACTTGCACCTCAACTATAGAACGTGGATGTGTGCTTAAAAACCTCAAAGACTGTACGGTCTTACTGGAACTTTTGGAGCTGCAGGTCCTCCGCCTTCCTGTTGCGACACCATGTTTTGAAGAAGTCTAAATCCGCCAACTTGCGATAGCAGCTTTCGCCAAAGCGGCGAAGGGTCTCCAAACAATAGTCACTGTAGGAGTTCCACTCTTTGCCTTCAAGCTTGGACATCACCTGGGATTCCAAGTCGATGTGGATCTCATTGACAAGCTGAACAAGCTGGTCCTCCTTCTCCTCTCGGGTGTAGTGGTTGATGGCGCGTCCCATCCAACCTGAAGACACCTGCGAATCACGATGCGATGAGCTGGATGAGTCAACAGAGGCAACAGACTTGCCATCAGGGGAGTTACACTCTGAGACGGCAGACTCAGCCTCAGAGGACTCACTGCCAGAAGGCTCACCTCCATCATTTCGACCGACACGCACCAAAGGGCCCTCATCACCACTCTCACTCTGGGAACCCTTGCAGCTCGACGCTGCTTCTTCTGCATCTGAAACTGGATCATTGCCATCAATAGGACGAAGGTCGTTGCGAGCAGGAACCACCTCCAAGCCCCCGCAGGTTTCCTCCTCCCCATCCGGCTTCTTCGAAGGTGACTCCTCGAGGAAAGATTTCAAGTGGGTGATCTTGTCGTCTTGCCCGTTGGTCTTGTTGGATCTCCACAAGTTGCGAAGGGCTCCAAGAAGTTTCTTGAGCTTGACACCCTCTTGTCCTGCCAGTGTAACTTTCCCCTCAGTCTCAGTTGGGACAATCATTTTCTTGCCCAAAAAACCATCGAGCATCAGGAATGCGTCGGTGAGAAAGTACGCAGACGGGACCTGCACTGCTTGGCTCGATCAAAAACACAGGTCATGAGAAAACACATGTGTTGATTATTGGTATCATTGTAAAGGTTAGGAACGCAATCCCTTTTCGTAAACCTGCGCCTTGTTTGGCCACTTCTTCACAACAGGCAGTAGCCACGGGTAATTGCGACTAATCTCTTTGGCGGTGGGCGTTCGAATCATACGGCTGTCACTCAACTCCACCAAAGCGGACCCCTTGAAATCAGGATCCTCGAAGATCGCAATGAGGCCCAATGGGAGATGTTCTTTCATCGATTTCGCCAGAGATACCTCAGCCGACGCGCGTTGTGAAAACTCTTTGTTTTGATCTTGAGAAAACGAGCTCTCATCAATATCCCTGAAGGTGAAAGTTTCCTAGAACCTAACACCAACCCATTTCGCAACGATCGCACTGACCAGAAAACCTTTTATATAGTTATATATGGCCATATAGTTTTGTATGTATTAAATAGCTATATATTGCAAAGTTGTATGTGCTATATATAGTTTGATGGGTTGGTACCCTTTCCATGGTTGTGGAATTGGATACAGTCAGGATGCCTTTGCCACACAAACTGTTGGTACCAAGATGCTACGTCTTCTTCAGTCCAGGACACCTTTCCAGGCCCTTGGAGCAATCGGCAACTTTCCCCAGGTTCCAAAAGAAGATGATACATTCTTAGGACTCAGGACCCTTTCTCTTGCTCTCTTTACGACTTTTAGTTTTGCGCATGTCAAACCTGCCCGCATCCGAGGAAATCTGAGCGGAAGACTCACTGACCGCCACTTCTGCTGCAGCTTGGACGACATGTCCACGAGTGGGGGAGAGCGCAAAACCAAAAAGGTCAAAACGGCAAAACGGGCTGCGGTGGTTTCGTGAAATCTTGTAACGCTTGATTGTTTGGCACCACTTCACAAACTCGAGAATTGCCTCCCCTCTCAAGAATTGTTCCAGACACCCCCGGCGCGGGGGCACTTGACGAAACGCTCTCCCCCACGTTCCGCCTCGGGCCGGCAGAGAAGGGATGTCAAGCCAAGACAAAAGAAACAAATTCTAGAATCTTGCGTTGGGCTCCATCGTATGGAATGTTTTTGGTCGAGAAATGTGAAATGAATCGCTCAGTCTTGGCATGGCTAGTTTACAAAACTCGAAGAGCGAGATCGGCTCAGCTTCACCTGGGATCCCCTGGCGGCGCCACGTTCAGAGCTGCAAGCGCTCAAGAGACATTGCCACCCAAGCACTCTCTCTTTACGCAAAAAGATCTTTTTTGTATGTTTACTGTCGTTTTCCTCAGCTCAGTGAGGGCGAACAAGAAAATCAAAGACTCATACGAATAAACATAAAATATGGGTGATATGCCGCTATAAACCCTCACGTCAACAAAAACATGCATAAGGGTATACATAGGAGTTGACCTGCAGGCCGGTTGCGTTTCACCTTTGCGGCTGGTTTGCTCGAGCCGGCGGGCGCCTCGTCGGAAAAAAAGCTCTCTCTCTCGAGAGAGAGAACGAACCTGTGTGGAACACTTGAGGACCACAGATGACGAAGGTGGTCTAAAGGAGGTCTAGGAAACAAAAACAAAAAACAAACAGCGCGACACATACGTTTTTTTTCAACACCCCTTGTGGTTTTTAGCTGTTCACACTTACGCAACATGCCACGTATGCGGTCCACCCGCATGAAAGCATAGTTAGTCGATAACTTTGCAGGCAAAAAGATAGCAACTTTGCAGGCGCCCATGGACACTGTAGTAGCGGAGCTGTACAGCTCAAGAAAGAAGCTGCAAACGGCACGTTTTCTACAAATGGCAAGTGCCGGTGTGGTTTGGAGAAACGTTGTCCAAAGGACATGTGTGGATTGTCAAGGTAAGGCCATCGTCGAGAAGAAGCCGAAGGCAAAGGCCACTCCAAAGTCGCCTGCGCCCCCAAGCTGCCTGATGAACAGGAGAAGCCAGCTCCGAAGGCTCCAGAAGCCAAAGCAAACCGACGTTGAGATGAACCGAGACACCTCAGCCAAAAGTACCAAAACGCCCGGCGGGAGCTGTGGCCATCTGCCGCAGCAAAGCCTGCTGTCAAAGCGAAGGCTAGGCCGCGTGCTCCTCCGGTGAGAATGAGGTCGTGGCACTTCAGTCGCGATCAGTGCCTGGTGCGTCCAATCTGCCCCACTTGAACTCCAACCAGGTATGGTTGTCTCGCCGTGTCAGTGGGCTGCTCCGTGGATGGGAGCATAGCAAGAAGACATGGCAGAAGGCGCAACCACCCTCCTTCGAGAAGGGCCTGTGGATGGACTATGCGAAGGTATATAGCTTCATCAAGAGGAAGTACGCTGTGAACCTCACAAATGATGAGCTCCTGCGTGTCATCACGTCGAACCACCGGTTGATGTTGGAGGATTACGCCAAAAAGGGGACTTTGGTCGGTGGAAAGTACCAGTACACCCCTCTCACGATCAAAGCAATCCAGAACCACAACGAGTGGTCATACAACACGGTTCAAGACGCCTTGCCTGAGCATCAGCATTTCGTGTACCTCGATCCCGAGTATGACGCGGAGTACTACAAGGCCGGCAAATTCCCAAGAGTTCCAAGAATTGGCAAGCTGGGTGAAGTCGCTCCGCGATCGTCGACCACTACACGCATCAGGCTGCCCTTCTCGACCTCATCAACATGGGCCTGATACCTGGCGGCAACAGGGCGGGGGCAAAGTACACCTTCCTCACAAAGGAGCCGTTGCCTGTGGATGAAACCTCAAAAACTAAAGAAAAAGATACCCAACAGGTGACATTGCTGCACTTCCCTCATCGCACCGCGGGAGCGGTTGCCTGAAAGCAAAATCGCTTCTGTAGTGCACCCGGGGACCGGTTGCCTGAAATCATCAGCTGATTCAAGTTGAGCTTAGGTCGATCTACCGTGCTCCTAATCATTGCATTTGTGAAGCGCACAATCTTTTGATGTGCAAGTTCCCCACGCGGGAGCGTGTGCCTTATGGTGTTGCCCCTGCTTCCTAAAAGGTGAGCGTTGCACTGTCCGTTCCGCTGCGCCACAAGAGTTTGATATGCAACTCACTGAATTGGACTTGAATGCGTGAATGTTTCTAGAGCCATGCATGAACACTAGCTCAAAACTTGCGCAGTGCATGTTGTACTTTGTGTCCTTGAGGTCAAGTATCCTCTCCATCTCGAAGGCACGCGCCGGCTTCGTTCGCATCGCTCGTGCCGGGGGACCGGTCACCTTCGTAGGTCTCATAATTAGTGCACTGTACATAGTCCTCACTCCTCCCATTTTCGTTCAGCGGGGGGTGTTGTTTCACGCTAGTGTACTATATTCATCCTTACTTCACCTTACGTTTGGCTCAAGGAAAACAGGTGTGACTCGGTCGTTCGCCTGTAACTACAAGAGATACAAAACACAACACAGCAAACACCATTTCATTTCTAATATGAATGGTTCCCCTAGTGGCCCTAGTGCTACCTCTATAAAGATAGCAGTGGTAAGAAACGCGCTATATCAAGGAATATCGTAATGTTGTTTTCAATGTGAATATTATTATCAAAGAGTACTAAGTACTATCAAATACAATTTTGTGGAAACACCGCAAAAAGCGCATCATTAAGTATATGGTTTTTCCTAACAGGGCCTTTGCTTCTTTTTTGTTTTGTTTGCTGCTGAGAGTTAAGCTCAATTTACACCATTTTTCCAAGTGGCCATCTCGCCCTTCGAGTTTCTGGGCAGGAATCGGGGCTCGGCAGGCTCAGCCCCAGCACCACAGACACGCCGCACGAGACGATCAGCGGCAGGTCTGACCGTTGTTGATGATACCTAAAATTGTTTTGAGAAACAATGTGCGGAGTAGTGACAGTGGCAAGCAAATACACATTGGGTGTTCGACAAGGTTCCACCAGGTTACATGAGCTGCTGGCCCGTTCAGGCTGACAACCAACCCGCATTCTCCTGACTCCATTGCAGACGTCTCTGAAATGAGAGCCTTTTCTGCAGGCTGGAGACTTGTTTTGATTATGCGCGGAGAGGCGCAAAACCTTCTCCCTCAACTCTCTGGGTTTGTGACAGGTGATAAAGTTGAAGTGTGGAGCGTCACACAGAGCACTTGGCTTCCGGGTGTGGTTGAGGCACGGTGCGCAGCAGTGTTTTTTCCTGGACCAAAGGTTCAATTTTCATTCCTTGCTATGCGCTGAAGGCGCCAAGTGAAGGGTATATATATATATGTCTATATCTATATATATATATATATATGCAATGCAATTACATAGAGAAAGTAAAATGATGGTCGAGCTGCTGGATCGGCTTGCGTAGTGGAGGTGGCTCGGCTTTGGGTTCCATGTGTTTTGCAGAGGCCTTTGTCGCAGAACGCGCCACTGTGGAGGGTGTCCAATGGCCTGCAGGCACCATCAAGGTCTGCACCCAGGGAGGAGGAGCGCCTGAAAACAACAACTCATCATCAGACTTCAGTGAGTGTCCAATTGAAGACGGAGAGAACATGGCGTGGAAGTGTGTGTGGTTGATTTTGGTATGCTAGCTGCAGCACATAGAGAAGGTTGTGCAATTGCACGGTATTCTGGTCAAGTGATGAACTAAAAGACGCCTCGTATGGCCAAGGCAACACACCAGATGCTGTTTGTTTGCAGGATATGAATGGATTCCCCAACTGGAGACCAACGTCAGCGTTCGCAGAGTCACCCGGCGCTGGAAGTGCAATTGATGATGACGGCAAGCAGATTTAAGTTGGCAATTCCTGAAACGACTCCTGAGACAGTTCTATATTCATTGTTGTTTGTCCGTCATGATGTTAGAAAACCATGAGAGATCATTGCAGTACCATCGCTCATGCGTGACTGAAGCAGGAGCGCTTGAATCGGGCAAGACATTTCATATTTTTCATTTCCATGCAGTTAGTTCGTGTTCCAGTGCCACCTTCCAGTGCATACTTTCTTTGCGCGACCTCAAGACACAGGTTCCCCTGGCCGAGCAAGGGACACTGGATCAGATGATTGCAGCGAACGGTTTGTTGGCAGCACCTCTGCTAGATATTTCCCCAACCAGTGTGGGCACACTGAGGGGTTCTTACGGTAAGGGAAAGGAAGCTGATGCTCTGGATCGCTGAAGCGCGCGGGCGTGAACGGCTAATTCGCTGCTATTTACAGCGCATTCATGCCTCTCGACATCGTCAATGTGCATTTCGACTGCGCAGGCGCAGCACTTGGTGAACCTTGAAGTGCAGATTTCGTGGCAGGCGCAACGCTCGGTGAACCTCGAAGAGCAGATTTCGTAGCAGGTGCAGCACTTGGTGATCCTCGATGTGCAGATTTCGTGAACCTCGAAGTGCAGATTTCGTGGCAGGCACAGCACTTTGTGAACCTCGAAGTGCAGATTTCGTGGCAGGCACAGCGCATGGTGAACCTCGAAGTGCAGATTTCGTGGCAGGCGTAGTACTTTGTGCTCTCAGATGCTCACTCTCTCACTCTCCCACTCTCGCCCTCCCACTTTCACTCACACTCACACTCCCTCACACTCCCACTCTCGCTCTCACTGACGCTCGCGCTCACACTCACACTCTCACTCTCACTCTCACTCTCCCACACTCACTCTCACACTCGCCCACACTCCCACTCACACTCACCTTCAGTCCCACTCATACTCACACCCACTCTCACTCTCACTCACACTCACTCTCACCCACACTCACTCTCATGACTCAGACTCGCACTCACTCACACCCACTCTCTCACTCTGAGTCGCGCACACTCTCACTCACTCTCACCCACACTCTCTATAACACCCACCTTCACTCTCACTCGCGCTCACTCACACTCACACTCACACTCACACTCACTCTCACTCTCACTCTCACTCTCACTCTCACTCTCACTCTCAC